AGTAAGTTTCAGGGTGGCAGGGGAGGGTTCTGTGCCCAGGGGAAAGCAAAGAGAAGGGCTGGGACCAAGGCATGAATGCCCAGCAGCTGTGTCAGGTCTATTTTCTCAATAGGCCAGGAGAAGAGATGGGGAAAAACACAACCCTCCTGCCAATAGGCTTGACCCTGCTCCATTGTAGTCAATGAAAGTTTTGTTATTGACTTCAGTGGGAGCAGGATCAAGCCCAATAGGAGGAGGATCCCGTCCACCTGTTGGCATCCACATCAGAAGATGCCTGCTGCTCCCTCTTCCCTGACCTCTGAGGAAGGGCGGAGAAGTTCCCTTAGCCTCCATAGAGAACAGAATCAACTGAGAGTGTGTGAAGAGCAGGGGGGAAAAAAACAGAGAGAGGAGAGAGAATGGGTTGTAAACTGGAACAGGTGGGGCTCTTTTACATTTTGTCTCCGGCCCTAAAAATCTTGGCTTGAAGTCCGGTCACATCCACCAGAGGAATGTATGAATTACACCAGCATTTGTAAGTAACTCAGAGAGATTTTCATGGGAGTAGCTCTTGCTTTAACCAAGTCTGCAGGAACAATCCTCTGCCTTACTGAATGCACTTCCTATGGTAATACCCAAGAGCTCACCATGGTCACATTGTGCAGCTCTTTTTATGGGTGTAGAGGATGAAATGCTGTACTTTGAGGTCTAACCATATTAATCTATGTAATGCAGCAAGGAAATGATTTAATAAACAGTGATAGGAATATGCCACTGCTTACATTTGCCATATACTCCTCATTCTGCTTCTCTGCTTCAGAGTTTACCCTGAAAAATGACCAAATGTTCTGAAAGGCCCGGTGGGACCATAATGTATCAATTTTAAAGGATTTCCCAACTGTCTATAACTGAGTCAACTAAGATTTGTTAACATGGAAGCATTTTTCTATTTATCTGGGCAAATTGAGTTTCTAGGTACTTATACCATACTCATCACAGCAGAATGCAAGAACCTATTATGTCAACAAGTATCTGAGGGTAATAAATTCATCACACAGATGAAATTCAAGTTTAGGAAAAAGGGGCATGGTTTCTTCCAAGATGGACAAATAGATCATGGATGGAAAAATCAGATCAACACTGTTTTTTATGTCTGAACATATAACTTCCTTCATTAAAAGCAGAAATTAATTTAATGTGGGATTTTTCAAAGGAGCTCAAAGTTGAGATAGTTCCACTCCCATTTAAATTATGACCAATAAGCAAAGCTAGGCTAATGCTGAGTGCTTTTGAGAAATACTACCCTTAATAAAATAAAACTAAACAACGCTAGATAGATTTTTTTTTAAATCTTTTTTCTTAATGTATCCCTTATGGCACTATTCTCATAGCACTTCATTTTCAGCCGAGCCTTCATTTTGAAGTCAACAACTTTGCACTCAATTCAGCAAGGCTTTTAAGTATTTGCCCACCTTTAAACTCATGAATAGTCCCATTGAATTCAATAGGATTTCTCATGCGCTAAAAGCTAGGCACATACCTAAGTACCTTGGTGAATGGAGGCCTAAAACAGGGAGCATGACAAGCCTTCTCCTTGGAGTCTCTTCATTGCTTTGAAAGTTATTGATCATGACTGACCAGGCACACTGCAACATGCCCAACACACACAGTATTTCTCCCAGGGAGTTTTCACTCCTCATTTAGGCAACAACCCTGAGGCCAGCTTCTTCCAGCTGGCCCATTACAGTTGGTCCTGCTTTGAGCAGGGGATTGGACTAGATGACCTCCTGAGGTCTCTTCCAACACTAATATTCTATGATTACCTTCCTCACACCCAACTCTGCCCAGACTAGCAGCAAACTGAATTCTCCCAACGAACAAAAACCTGGAACAAAAATCTCCACAGCATTTGTCCGTCTCTCCCCCTCAGGAGTTCCTACTTGGGTGGGGTTTTCAACGGTCCCCCACGTTTTAGAGGCAGAGTCAAACAAGCTCCATCTTCTTCCAAGCCTAGGAGAAGCTAGAAGGCAAGTAGCTCTCTTCCAACCAGTGTCCTGCCCATGATGAAGGAATAGGTAGATTATATACTGGCCTCCTTCCCAGAATGTGTCCTGATTGGCTGAGAGAGGAGACAGTGCTGCCCTGTTCTATGCTACAAAACTCCTGGTTCCAGGCCCTAGAAAGATTAGTAACCTTAGATTTTTCAAGAAACCAATTTTTACCCTGTGACCACTTGCTGTCTCCCAGTATCTGCTTGTCTGGCCCAGAACTCCTGGAATGGGGATTACCTGGCCCCCAAGCTCCCCCCTCTGACTTTAAAGAGACAGTATACCCAATCACAGTGAGCATATCCCCAAACAGATATTAGCAGAGGGATAGATACTATACTAAATATCACAAGGATTTCTTTAAAAACAACAACAAAAAACAAACAGGCAATATATGCACAGAGATCAGTGGGAGTTTTCTCTGGCTCCTGCCTATGAAAGGGCTGCAGGATTCGTCCCAGAGGGAAATTCAAAAATGAACAGGCAAGAACTTAACAATCAACAAGTCTTCTTATATAAAATGCCTGAAGTAACTAGAATAATGAACTAGTGTTGCTGAGAAAGGAACAACTGAAAAGTTCTTGTACCACAGGGGGTCCATTGTCTTGTTAAATTATTCAGGAATTTTTATGACATTTAGAAACCAACTGGACAATCTTTTCACTTGCTGTCAACATTAATGGGCTTTGTATCCGTTAATACAAGAGCACAGAAAATATCTTTTCTTAAAGTGATTTGAATGCTGGTTTTCCTGTATTATTAAATGAGGAACTTCCTGGGAATCATTTGCTCAATGGATACTGTTAAATGTTCAGTGGTTTAAATACATGGAGTATTAGAATTGGGCCCACTAGAATCTGGGTCTGTCAGAACATTCACTGTAAGACTCGGCTTCAGTTAGTGAGGTGGAACCTCCCCCCCTCACCCCCGCAGCCTCCACAGTGAAGTTTTACCTGTAAGGTCTGGAGAGACAACATGGTCTGGATAGGAGACTGGGAGTCAGGCATATCAATTATTTTCCGACTATAATCCTCCATGCCCTGCCACCAACAGAATTGGCTGGCTACAGGGGGAAAATGCACAACACAGCACCTGTGTAGATATAGTAACCAAAGCCCTTCCCTGCAGGCCAGCTAGCTGCGGAAATCACTGTGTGCCTTGGAGGTGCAGTATCTCCTGGAGCTCCCACTGCAGTGCAGATCTGCAAAGTCCTGCTTAACCTCTGGCCTCCTTGCCTGTGTATTTGGGTAATTTAACCAGAGTGGGCAGAGCTGGTGATAGACTCCTTCCCTCCCCTCATAACAGCGAGTCAGCATTTTCCCTGCCCTTAGCTCCTCTAGTGATAGACCCAGAGAGCACTGAGCAACTGTCAGGAGAAAGGCAGATGGCTGCTTCCCTGTCCAACAGCAGCAGACACTCACAGGAGGAACCCAGCATGCAGACCACATACATGGGAGAAGAAGCCTCTGTGTGGGGAACAAGGGAAAGTTAATGGAGTAAAGGAGAGAGAGAGAAAACTGATGAAGGGGGGGGATAGAGAAGGCAAGGAGGAAATGGAGAATGGATGGAATGTAGCAGGAAGGATTTATACATCTGCATTGAGTAACTGATGGGTGTAGGAGGAGATAATGCATTTGTTGTTTCCGAGGGACCACACTTTGGGATTCTATGCAAATTTGCATATTAATTTATACAGAAATGTCTACATAGAAATTTCTTTCAAGCTTTTTCCTGAGCCCCAGTAGGCAGCTCTTCTCCCCCCCCCCCCCCCCCCCCCGTACAATCTAGTGCCTTAAATGAAAACCTCAATCATAAGTTATTACACTGACAGCAAAGTGCCCAGTTTCCCTTAATATGCAGCCCCATGTTATTTTAACAGTTCCAAATTCCACACTAAAGATTAATATTAAACAAAGTAGGCCATAATTCCCTAGCCCGTACGGCACTGAACTGTAATACGATTATAAATTCCAGTCATTTACTGGAGTATTCCGAGAGGGTTGTTCATTGCAAGCAGGATTATCTTTGGCTACAAATATTTTGTGTAAAGAGCTGATGAATTTATTCCTTTAATTACAGCCTCTCTTTTAGAAGACTCCAGAAGAAGAGGTAAGGGCATAAAATCAAGGATAAGGTGTTTGAGGGCTGCCAGATGGTAGAAGACTATGGAATATTAATTTAAAATAAAGAAAGAAGCCAATTTTGAAGAATAAAGGACAGAACTCCAGTTGAGAAGGCAGAGATCTACTGCAGTTCCTGAGTGGATAAACTATATAGTGAAAGGCCCCTTAGTTTAAAGATACAAAAATTCTACTGTCTATCTTAATTTTAAGCACATGGTTAGGTGCTTTCCTGAATCAGAGCCTACATGATTTGTAATACAGACCTGCTAAATCCTTGTTTGCTGGTTGGCTAGTGTCGTGTTCCCCTGAATCCATCCAGATGGTGCTTTGCTCAGGCAATGTGTACTTTGTTGCAGGTATCAGACTGTAACACCCAGTAGCCACTGCTCACTCCAACTCTGCTTGTCTTTTGTATATTATTGACTTCAGGCCTGGCCTTAGAAAGTCCTGCAATGTTTTTCTTTGCTGTGGAAGATGTAATTCCCCCTTTCCAGGTTGTGCACAGAAGCAGAGAGAACATTCTGTGCATATCACCTACTCCCTAAACACAGATTCGCAGGCAAAATTTCTATCCCTTAATCAATATCTGCTCTTTGAACTCTGCCTTCCTACTTCATTTTTTGTTTGTTTATTGGGATAGCCTCTTGTTTGGCTTAAAGCTCCTATCTAATCAATCCTTGGATACGTTTAATATTAGGTAGAGATGGGAAACAGATAAAAACCCTCACAACACATGGGGAAGTTTAGATCTGAATCCAAACGTCAAGACTCAGACCCCTCTTGAGTATTAACATATTTCAGACCATTTCAGTTAGTCACATGACAAGAAGAGTTAAATGCACTAACTTACCACCCCACCTCCTGCAGAGTGAACCAGCACAGACATGCCTTCTCTTAGGTTGGCCACTTCAAAGAGCATCATGTAAGCAGTTACAAAGTTCATAGGAAAGGCAGCAGCTTCAGAAAAACTCATGTCATCAGGAATCTTGTAGACAAATTCTACTGGGGTACATACTACTTCAGCCCATGCGTTGTAGTTTACGAAAGCCATTACTCTGTCTCCAATCTGCAGTAACAGAAAGAATGACATTGAGATTATTAGGATAGTAAGCATGCACATCTGAATGCTTACAAAATGCTATAAACATTGAATCCATGAATAACTGTATAAGAATATAAGTGACATGACCAGAGGTTCTCCCACCAACCTTCATGGATGACAGGTTGTCCACAGAACTGCTTCTGCCACAGTGATTATGAAGCACCAATGCTTGTTGCAGCCCAGCCTTAGGCTCTTTAGGATTTCCAGGGGCTTTTTGGATCAATTAAAATTTTTACTTAAAAACAAAATCACAGCTCTGCTTCAGGTCTTTCTTTGCTGGTTTGTTTCTTTGGTGAAAATTTAATCAGGATTAAATTTGCAGGCAATACTAACACTGGAAAGGTAGCTAACACAGGAGGACCAAACTACAAAGTGACATCAAAAGATTTTAGCAGTGGGGTGTCCAAGCTGCGAGGGGAGCTTTGCTACTAATGAAAGCAAGTCCTGCATGTGGGAGCAGGGCTAGGAGAGCACCAACACAAAGCGAACGGACATGAATAAGCAACCCCATCTAAAAGGGAGTTTATTTTCACCTGGCCTTCCTAATCTTAAGAATTTTTCACAAGCTACTTTTCCAGGCAATACATTTGCTGAAGGGGAGGTGTGGACATCAGAATGGGAGGCCTTCTATTTTAAGAAATAAACCACAATATGAAAGTTTGAGAACCAATGATTTAGCCTTTTACTTTAATGCTAGCATTATCTGTTTACTTTGTAGTTATATTATTCTAAGTAGATATTTAAACTGCCTTTGCCTGCTGGAGATAATCAATATGTGACAAGGATCTTAACTACTGAGGCTACATTCTGCTCTGAACTATATCAATGTATTTCCAGAGTGACTCCCCTGAAGTCAGTATAGCTACCATGGGTTTAGACCTTTGTGACAGAACAGAATTTGAGCCTATAACTTTAAAATAGGACTTCAAACATCAACCTTGTGTCCTTCGGTTCTTATGCCAGCTTCTAAATCAATCAGCTCCCATCTGCAGGAATTAAAGGAGCAATGCAATCTTCTTTTTTCCTGCAACTGAAGACCCAATTATGATAGAAAAAAATATATACACACACTAGTGAAAAACGCCTTCTATCAAATACAAAATGGAGATAAGATAAATTTGAAGATGGAGTGAGATTATATTAGCCACATTAAGTGCCTCTTGGGGATTGGGCTGAAGTGCAGGCACATCAATTTCATACATTTATCTAGAGGCCTTCATTGCAGTTTCAGATTCTGAGAATTCAGACAGCAATTCCGCATAGATAGCCAAGAATAATAATATGAATGTCTGAAAATGTAAGGCAAATTCTCCTCACTTGCACGGGTATAGGAAAACTTCAAGAAGACTACACCAGGGTAAGTGAGAGCAGAAATTGGTCCAACGGGATGACTCATGTGACTAAGGTGAGCAAAGTTTTGCCTCTATGCATTTAATTCTCCTTTGCTGTCATGCTTACAAAAGAAAACTTGACAATGATTAGGCAGCTGGTATGCTGAGACAGCTGCCTTAGAATACCTGTTTACAGTGCAAAAGCATTTTGGCCTCTCAAGATGCTTTCATCTCTTTGGCCTTGGGATACTGTAGGTTAGTTAAAATTTAAAGTGCTGGTGACAGTTCTGAAAGGTTTATATCTTGTTGGATGAAGTCGGTGAACACAACTGCATTCCAATTTCACTGAAATTCCTCCTTCTTTTGAAAGGGTCCTTCATATTAACAACAGTTCTGCTGTTTCCCTTCCACTGTTAAAAAGGTGCCTACGTTTTAAACATACGGTTTCTGCATAAGATTAATTGGCACAAGATTTTAGCACTTTACAGTATATACTTTATTACAAAAAAAAAATAGTTACAGAACTGAAGGGGTAGAGCACGGAGGTCCCTCCTGCCAGGTACTGAGGATGCTTTTACTATATTTTATAGTGTTTAACCAGCATGTCACTTCAGATCTTTGCAACTGAGCACCGCCACTGGAATTAAGAGCTTCTTAAATGGGAAGGGCCCGATCCTGTTTCCTGTGAAGTCAATAGGAATTTAGCTATTGATTTCAGTGGGAAGTAGGAACAGGCCCTTCAACTGCTGTGCTAAATGATGGTTTTTATTCAACGCGGAGAACATTTTTAGAAACCTCTATCAATGAGGGTTGCCATTAGAAGCCTGGATTTGTCATATTCTCAGGCAATGAAGAGACCCATTAAATTCCAGTTTGGCTATGCCAGAGATGAAAGGCTCAGTTCAGTTGCAGACGCATGCCCATGGGCCGAATCCTGCTCATATTAATCCTCCACAGCATGGAGTCCCAGTGACTTCACTGGCATTGCATGGAAATGGAGTCCACTTATGGGGAGAGGTGTACAAGATTTGGGCGTTAACCTTTGGCCTTTTTGACCCTGCACACAAAGATGCCAGGTTGTGACAAGTGTGGAGCAAACATCAGCTCTCTCTAATTTTCATATACTGATTTTGACCTGAATGGTACATTTCCTGATCAGTGTATTCATATTTGTGTGTTTCAGCTTTCTTTATGGTCTCAGGTCTCTCTACTAGATAACCCAGCCATTGCTGTCGTTATGTAAAATATGTCTAAAAATTACAAAGCCTTGTTTTAATTAGAGGATGGTTCTATCAGAATGAGCATGATCCACCCTGTTCATATCATGCTCTTGATCACGACTTTTAAAGGAGACCCAATATAATCAGTCAGGCATAATGATATTCAAGCAAACATTCATATCCTATAGCTGTATGATTTCCATTTCAAAAGGATTAGAGAAGTTTAGACCAAAAAATGCAGACAAAAATCTAATCCAAAGCAGAATCTCATTATACTAGTTCTATACACTGGATTATTTCTCCTCAGCTTTATACAGAGCCTAACTCTTAAAAAAACAAACAAACAAAGAATGCTAGATCTGCACATCTGAGAGCACAGGTTTCAGACAAAGAAATTATTGTTTATAGGAAAAAGGTAGTGGAAAAGCTGTGATTCCTTGAAGGAAAAAATAGTTCTAAGCAATACTAGCCTCGTTCCTAATGAGACCCTATTAGAAACCAAATGGACCATGGTCTGTCATGTAACTGAGCACTGTTCACAAAGCTCTTGTGGAAGAACAATAATGCTGCCTAATAAAGCTCTCCTTATGCAATATCTACTTAAATGAGAAAAAAATACAATAAGTATCAAAAAAAAGGAGGCCGGATTATTTCATTACATTGACAAAACACGTTGCAGAGATAAGAATGAAAATAATTGACACATGCCCAGCAGTCCTGCTTCAGGAGAGTCACACCTCCATGTTGCATTTGTTCAGCAGGATTTGCATGTAAATCAAGAAAATACTGTGGGAAGTTAAAACAGAAGGTTTCAGCTAAGAGAGATGTTTAACATAAATGATGGAAAACAGAGTGGGATGCTGTACATTTTACACATAATACAGGTGCTTTAAAATACCTGGTGCCAGCTATGGGATGAGATCGTATGAGATCCCTGTTATTTTAATTAGTTGTCATTTAACACTGTACAACTAGGGTGAAATTCACCCTTCCCTGCATGAACAGTGAGTAAATTATTATTAGTCTTATCCGAGTGCTTAGAGTCTCAAAGCAGAATGAGGGCATTGTTATTCTAATGTTATTTTAGGCATTGTACAAACACAGCATAAGAGACAGTCCCTGAGTTTACAATCTAATTTAAGTCAAGACCCAACAACTGGGACTAAGCAACAGTGGGAGTGTTTAGGGGAGGGGGGTAACAGTGATAGGAAATATGGTTACACAGATGGACGATGTGTAAAATTAGCAGATTTCTAGTCCAATTATTTTGACTCTTTTAACGTATAAATAAAAAGGGAATATAAATGATCTCAGCCGTGTCTGCTGGCTTCCTGCCTAGTCATTACCAGTTGGCAGCGTATCATAAGCATCATGGCAGAAGTGAGTCTTTAAGAGGAATTTGGAGGAGGTGGCAGTACTGGCTGTATGGATTAGTTCCGGCAGGGCATTTTCATGCATAAGGGGCAGTAAGGAAGGAAGCACAAACTTATCTGTGGGAGGAACAGACATGTGAGTAATGGAGGCTGCCATCATTGGCAGAGTAGGAGGCAGCAGGGCAGGATGGTTAAATGGGTAGGTAACGAAGGAATGGCCAAATTGTGAAGACTGCTCTGCCCACTGCCTCCACAACACTATTATATCCCAGAAGGTCCGACATGGGGCCGCCGGGCACATCAATGAATTTCACCTCTGAGATAATAAGACATGCTGCATATCAAGTTGTTTTTTATAACAGGAATTACAGCTGAGTTATAATTTGAAAATGCAGTCTCATTTATAGTGTTTGTCACACTCGGTGCCAATATCAGAATCAGAAGAATCTTGAAGGCCTGTGATCATATTAACTTTGATCATATCAACTAACTTTGGCTGGCTGGACCAAGGGGAAATCTAAAACGCAACAATGATAATTAACAACAGTTAGCACTCATATAAGGTTTTTCATCTTCAAGGTGCTGGGCCAGCATTGAAGTCAGTTTGCTTTGCAATAGAGCTTTCAGTACAGGAAACATTAAAACTTATTTCAACTTCTGCGTGTTAAAAGAATACTTGCCCCAAAGTGCCAATCTGGGCAGGTCTTTAAACACAATATAGCAGTCTAAAATCTTTTAAAATGGAATTTCTAGAAATGGGATAAACCGATGAAAAGTAAAAAGACTCTTGATGCACTAAAAAGAAAGAAGTAATAGAATTTTTCCCCATTAAGGAAGATTACCGTAAGACATTGTTGAACAGAATGTATACATAAGGTTTTGGATAAGCTGGGGAACTTTTTCCATGAATTTAAATTCCCCTCTGGAGAAACCGATCTCATTCTGATTAAATACAGTTCTTCACTAATCAAGGTTCAGATCAGTGTGGTTTTATCTTAGCTTACTAGACTAGAAAATTATTCTTGTAGGAAGTGTCTGCTGATAGTTAATGGCCCAGTTCTGTCCCTTCACTCCCTACTTAGTTGGATAGTTTCTTACCCTGCATTTTCAATAGGGCTACTTGCAGAGTAAGGTCTTGTCTATGCGGTGAGTTAGTGTGCGGGAAGCCAGGGTATAAATCTACAGCACCCTGGCTTGCTGCACACTAACTGGCCATGTGGCCTCTTCTCCAGTGCACTAAAAGTTCCCTGGTGGGCTTTGACATAGTCCCGTTTCAAGCTACTTTTAATGTTTCAAACAGGAATATGGCAAAGCCCACTGCAGAAATTTCAGTGCATTGTAGGAGGGTCCACAGGGCCAATCAATGTGCAGCAAACTAGTGTGCTGTAGAATCCCACCCTGGCTTGCTGACCACTGACTCACTGGGTAGAGAAGCTTTCAGATGCTACTCAAAGTGAGCAAGGGTGGCAGAATCTGGCCTTAAATCCTTTCTTCTCCACTCCTAGTCAAATGCTGTTTCCTTGATCACACTGCAAGATAAAGGAAATATTACCTCAAACCCTGCCACACTGTCCCCCAGAGCTTCTATGATCCCAGAACACTCAAATCCAGGAACAAGTGGTGTCTTGGGAGGATTGTCGATATTCCCCTGCCGCACCATCAGATCAATGAAGTTTAAACCACTGTAAACACAAGAAAAAACAAAATCAAAACACTAACATGGGAGTAGGAGGGAGAGAAACTCAGCTGGGACAATGAAAGATGTTGAAGGCTTCCATTATTCGTAATGCTGCATTGTTCTCCTGCACATGGGTAGGCAGGTGTGGAGCAAGTGTGCAGAGGGAATTCACATCTTCTCTCATGGAAAAACTTGGCTGTAAGTCAGCTCTGCATGGGCTGTCTTGGAGGTAGGGCTACTAGATCTGTGATTACACTGAGCTCCTATGCTTAGAGGTTGCACTGGAGTCATAACTACTGTTTCAGATCAGAGATCATTACCACCTGGATCAGAGTCAGATCAGTGATCTAAAAGATCAGTCAGATCAGTGATCTAAAGATGAAAGGCTCCTTCTCATTACTAATCCCCTGAGATATCTCATGACGCTTTACAAGACATTTTGAATTATTGTGAAATACACACACATCTTTCAGTATTAAAAATATGTAGCTCTGTGAAAAGCAGACTACTTCTGTAAATAAGGATGGTTAGGCTATTCCAGGTACATAGAGCACATGCAGGGTTGGTATGGTGAGGTCTCAGCATTACTGTTGTAAATCTATGTGTGAGCCGAGGGACATGTCTACCTGAACACTGACTGTGGGGCATGCTGGAGTGTAAATCTATAGCACTCCAACATGCTGCACCCTAACTGTCCATATGGATCCTGCTGATGGGCACTAAAAGTTCCCTAGTATGCACTGATAAACGGTGGTTTATTTCAGAGAAAGGACAATGCAGTGATTGGAGATATTCTTTAAGGACTTCAAAAAATTGCAAACAGTGAAGTGATATTCGTTAGGAGTTTGTATATAATCCACTGATATATGCTATAGATATTTTGGGCCAGATGCAACCTTGGTGTAACTGCACTTAAATTGCTGGTGTAACACCAGGGAGGAATCTGCTGTTATCTCGGCAAGGAACAGAATCGTTAGTGAGAATTTATTAAACATCAAATGGAATGTTATCATCAATAAACTATTATAGACGCTCTTGCACCTGATCATTTTTAAACAGTCTTTGCAAAAGATTGATTTAGGTCTTTGAACTCTCATGTGGGCGGCTGCTCAGAAGAATCACTGATGACTTTCCCTTGTATGCTCAATTTTGTGAAAATCATGAGGCCTCCTTACTTTGTCTTTGTATCTCATATTTTATTAAAATAAATAAATAAAAAAGCACAGGTATTTTTTTTTTTAAAGATACCAGGGGGAAAAGTATTTTGTTTATCCAGTGCCTCATTGTATAGATTCCACACACATCAAGCACCATGCACACATTCTGAAGACTCCTTACATTTATAACTAGCTAGAATATACTACAGTCCCAATCTATTGTTTCAGAGCATAGCCCCATAATTACTGCCAGCCGGAAAAGATGTATACCGGGGCCCTGTATTCTGCAAAGTTATGCACATGAGTCATCTCTCTCACGCAGATAGACCCATTGACTGGTCACACACAAAGTCACTCATGCGTGTTTGCAAGATCAGGGCTTTCATCTGGTTACTAACAAAGACATGGACAACTCTGATAAACATAAAACAGGATAAAGACAAAGTGACACATGAAACCATGACAATTCATGGTGAGATCTAGGTCATTAGGAACTTCAGTGGAAATTCCATCTAATGCAAACATTGAAGGCAGTTGTGGATAAAATTTTAAAAGTGCCCTCAACCCATCCTTGATTTGTGCATGAGAAAGATTATGGGCCACTTTTGGAAAATACAACTTTGAAAACTGAAGTTGCAGAATTGACATGTGTCTCATGACTGACAAAGTCATAGGGATATCATTTTCATGACATTTCAATGGGAAGTTTTTTTATCCCGACTGTGCCCATCTCCTCTCCTGGACCCCATGGGAAGCATTATTATATCCTTTCTACAGAAGGGGAAATGAAGCTAATCAGCTTGTTCAAGGATACACATAAAACCCACAGAAGAGCATGAAACTGAACGTTGGTCCTACCATCCCCTTAGCCAGTACCCAAACCACTGGGCCATCTGTCCTCCCTGAAGACCCAGAGGAAAGATAAAAAGACAGTTGTACACAGTGATTGCACTAAGCCTACAGTGAGAATCATTAGCAGGGGCACAGCACATTGCAGGTTCGAGGCTTAAAAATGATTGCAGAAAGGCTGCATCTGATCAGAAAACTATCAAGGCAATTCACCTTCTGTAATGTTATGTATAGGGTAGGAAAATTCTGAATGATAAAGAGCTTTTGGGACTATTTAAGAGAAAGTGAAGGACATACACAATGATCACCATTTAAAAACAATATTTACACACATGGTAGGCAACACTGCTCACAAATGTTAACTTCATTGGAGACCATTGTCTAGGGGTATGTCTACACTACGGGATTAATCCGAATTTAGATAATTCGAATTTGGGAAACAGGTTGTATAAATTCGATTGTGCGCGGCCACACTAAGCACATTAATTCGGTTTTTAACCACATTAATTCGGTGGTGTGCGGCCACACTACCCCATTAATTTTAACCACATTAATTCGGTGGTGGCGGCCACACTAACCCTAATTCGAATTAACAAAATCGATTTTGGCGCTACTCCGCTCGTCGAGGTGGAGTACAGAAGTCGATTTAAAGCGCCCTTTAATTCGAACTAAATGGCTCTGTTGTGTGGACGGGTGAAGGGTTAATTCGAATTAACGCTGCTAAATCCGAATTAATCCCGTAGTGTAGACCAGGCCTTGTCTAGATCTTTCCACAATTCGAGTGCTTTACAAAAGTTACTTAATTAACCTTTCCTATATTCTACTCCCACTGGGTAACTGGGGATGGAGTTGTGATGCAAGAACAAGCAGAGGAATTGGGGTTGTGACATTAAAGCAGGCAGGGGGCACCCAGACAGACGTGGCTATGACTGTGGCTATTTGAAAAACATGATTTTATGTATATATCATCACACCTTAATGCACCAGCACCTATGCACCTACTCATTCTGACGGAATTATTTGGCAGACATTTTTTGAATGGGAATGTTTTCAATTATGAATCTGACTACATAACTCTAGCAAACCAATTCCTTGCCTTTTGTCTTTATCCCCAGGAAACAGCAGCAGCATTAATACAAAATTTCATCCCTATTAAAATAAACTTGTTACTAGAACAGGATTGGGAAGGAACACGAAGGTGTAGAATTAAAAAAAAAAAATTAGGGCGGTCAATTAATCACAGTTAACTCAAGCGATTAACGCAAAACAAATTAACTAGATTAAAATGTTTGTGATTTATTGTTTAACAATACATGAAAACTGCAATTATAGAATACCAACTGAAATTTACTATCAGTATTTTTGGATGTTTTTCTACATCTTCAAAAATATTTATTTCAGTTACAATACAAAGTGTACAGTGCTCACTTTATGTTATTATTACAAATATTTGCACTGTAAAGAAACAAAATAAATAGTATTTTTCAATTCACCTCATACAAGTACTGTAGTGCAATTTCTTTATCATGAAATACAAATGCAGAATTTGTATTTTTTTAAATAACTGCACTCAAAAACAAAACAATGTAAAACTTTAGACCCTACGAGTCCACTTAGTCCTACTTCTTGTTCAGCCAATTGCTGAGATAAACAAGTTTGTTTACATTTACGGGAGATAATGCTGCCCTCTTCTTATTTACAATGCCTCCTGAAAGTGAGAACAGGCATTTGCATGGCACTGTTGTGGCTGGCACTGCAAGCTATTTATGTGCCAGATGTGCTAAACATTCATATGCCCCTTCATGCTTCAACTTGTAGGTCTTTTTTAAAAATCTTTTCTACAGTGTAAATATTTGTAATAAAAAAATAATAGAAAGTGAGCATTATACACTTTGTATTCTGTGTTGTAATTGAAATCAATATATTTGAAAATGTAGAACATCCAAAAATATTGAAATTGGTATTCTATTATTGTTTAACAGAGTGATTAATTACATCTATTTTTAATCTCACTATTATTCGCAATTATTTTTAATTGTTTGACAGCCCTAAAATAATTGTGATATCGGGGTATATAATGAAAAATTTTGAATTTATTTAATTAATTATAATTTAATTCATAGCTGAGAAATCAAGTTTGATTTTGGCCCTGATATTTAAATACTTTAGTCACACACTATATAACTTCTTTCCCCTTCATCACATTTTATTCTCCTATAAATGACTTGTTCACATATATTTTTGAATGTTCCTGATACTGTGTCAGGAGAAGTACTTTGGCTACATGCCATTTATCAAAAAGGGCATGTATAACATATGTCCAAATAGTGGCATCTGGGCAAAGTTTCATGTCTCTGACTTATTCCTGGCCTGATTTGAAACTCCATTTTCTATTTCCATTTCCATTTCATAAGGCCATGTGTACAATCCTCATCAACATCAATGAGGTAACTCAGAGCAGAACAGGGCTCGATGATGAGACCAGCAAACTCATTTTTAATAAGCTTAAGATAAATTTGAATGCAAGAATCAAGAGGTAAATTGCTAGTCTATTAATTATCTGTGCAACATTAGGCCTCATGGAATCCCTCGTCAAAATTCCTTGTGTCTGCTCTAATTTGAAAGGGACAGGTTGGCTTCATAGTCTGGCACAAGAGAATAGCCTCCTCGGTCTTTTCTGTACAAACTTCTGATATTTGAAAGCTGTGGCCTCCATTTTATTAGACGTGGATGCTTTTGCTGTAATTTGGACAGTGGCTAAAGGGCATACTGAGAATAATCACACAAATATAAAATTGCTTTTCCTCTATGAACAATAGGATACTAATACTGTTCTATATTACTACTGGTATGACAATCCCTGCTTATGATACATGTAGGAAGGAGAGGTTGTCTTGCATAGGGGTTCAGAGGAGGTGTTGCTTTAGAGCTACAAAGTTCAGATCCAAACTTCCTCAAAGGTTGGGGAACGCAGAAAACTGTTTAACATTTAGGAGCT